CAGCAAAGTTCATACAATTGGAAACTGCTTTAAGTATTTGGACGCAACGGATTTTCTTACAAAAGGCAATATTAACAGACGGACTTTTACAACTTCAAGCAAAGAAATTTGCAGAATTGTTAAATATTTCGGAAGCCGATTTTAAAGCAAGTCATGGTTGGCTTGACAGATTTAAAAAAAGACATGATATTCAGCGATTTAGAATTCATGGAAAGTAGGAGAGTGTATCTATCGAAAATCTTCCTGAGCAAAGACAGAAATTGGTCGAATTACTTTCACAATACAAGCCAGAGAATGTTTACAATGCTGATGAAACTGGCCTCTTTTATTGGATGACACCCAATCAAACACTTGCAACAAAGCCAGTTAAAGGTAAAAAGAAAAATAAGGAGCGAATAACTATCTTGCTTTGTACAAATGCAACTGGTACGGACAAGCTTAAACCACTAGTTATTGGATATTCAGCAAATCCCCGATGTTTCAAGAATATTCGGAAAGAGAACCTCAGTACCAAATATGAAGCCAACAAGAAAGTATGGATGACTGGTGATATTTTCGGGTGTTGGATAAAATCTTTAAATGCTACCAACCGACTCAATTGTAGAAAAATTCTTGTTTTGGTTGATAATGCTACTTCTCACATAGTTAGCGAGGAATTGGAGTATGTTGAAGTTCACTTTCTACTACCAAACACCACACCTTATTTACAACCATGTGATGCTAAAATAATTAACTCGTTTAAAGCTCACTATCGAAAATTATATCTTCAAAGTGTTTTGGAAGCAATAGATGCCGAAAAAGAAATACCCCGCCTTAATATCAAAGAAGTAATCGATTTTACTTCAGAAGCATGGAGAAATGTAACCCCTCAGACAATCGTCAATTGTTGGCGAAAAACTGAAATAATACTATTGGTAGAGTGGAATTGGCCAAATTCAAATATTCAACATAATAAAGAGAATATAGAACTAAAAACTGATATCGAACAACTTATTTCCAGCATTTCTGTTGATAATATTCAGATAACAGCTGATGACTATATCCATATTGATGATACTGTTGAAACGGAAGAGGTTACTATAGACGAAAAAGCCATTCTAGAAGAGATTCTTCAACCATCCAATCCTAACAGTGACGAAGACAGTGAAATTGAAATTGAAAAAATTCCTCATTCCATTGCTTTTGAGCAGTGTAAGTCACTTTTGATGTATGTAGAATAACAAGACTCAACAAAATTCGTAGAGGAGCAGGACTTGCCGAGATTGCGAAGTCTGTTACGGCGCATTCAAATAAATGTATCTCAGGCGAAACAACAGAAAAAAGTGACAGATTTTTTATTGTGATACATGTAGTATAAATTTGATTTAAGCTTTTTTAGTAAGAAAGATTTATTTTGGAAAGGAAGGCTAGCAAGAATGGTCTATTTGGAGAGTAAAAAATAAAAGATTTATATACATGTTAAAAAAGTCTTAAAATAATGTAAGGACTATATGAACGAAGCTTAATACCATTTATATCTTGTCATTAGCTAATAAAATTGCTAGATTCTGTACCTTTAAATAATGCATATTGATATCTATAAAATAATATTATTTAAGTGCTATTTAAGTTTACATGTATGTATGTAAATAAG